AGAATCGGCGTCACGCGCTGACACGCTCAGACTGGAGAGCGGCCTGCGCTGGTTGGTGAACTGAAGCTGCTGCTAGGCTCCGGATGCTCAGACGGATGAGAGCGGATGGTCGGTGACCTGAAACTACTGGCCGGTTCTAGTTCCGTAAACTAGGTTTCAATATCGCTTTGTTCAGCGTGCTCTGCGCTGTCTCGTCATGCTTGGTATCTTCCGATTGATTGCTCGATCATGAGTCAACCAATGGGACATGTACAAAAGGAACAAGCCCTGTAAGGAAAGGTAAGGTACTGTAAAGGTATGAGTACTGTTCCGCTCTTCCATTCGCGTCACATCTTTCTTTCGACCCGATAGTCGCGAAGCCATGGCCGATCGGATTTCCCCCTCTGATGGAAGAAAACCGCGCTGAGCTGAGCTGAGCACCGCGCTGGACGCCTCCGGCCGTACCCTCCGGCCGTACCCTCCCGCCGTACTCTCCGGCCGTACCCTCCGGACGCCTCCGGCCGTACCCTCCGGCCGTACCCTCCCGCCGTACTCTCCGGCCGTACCCTCCCGCCGTACTCTCCGGCCGTACCCTCTGGACGCCTCCGGCCGTACTCTCCGGCCGTACCCTCCGGCCGTACTCTCCGGCCGTACCCTCCGGACGCCTCCGGCCGTACTCTCCGGCCGTACCCTCCGGACGCCTCCGGCCGTACTCTCCGGCCGTACCCTCCGGCCGTACCCTCCGGCCGTACCCTCCCGCCGTACTCTCCGGCCGTACCCTCCGGACGCCTCTGGCCGTACCCTCCGGACACCTCCGGCGTGGGCACTTGCCCCTCCGATTCAGCATCACGCAGCGGGTTTAACGCGGTGGGCACGACGCCTGTGGATCGCATCAAGGACGGATCCAGGCGAGGCCACGGCTGCCACCTTCTCCCCTGGGGACCCACGCGCATCATGTGAGAAGGGAAAATTGCAGGTTCCGCAAAATTGATCTGGGCCCAGCATTGTCTTCGGTCTGCTAGCGCCTGAACGTGGAGCAAAGGCATGCAACTAACGGAACAAAATGATTTTATGATATGCGCACTTATAGTGTCGTGACTCGAATTCGAGAAAATAACGGCTGCTCGGGTGGGACCTTGAATAAGGGCTTGCAGAAATTTCCAAGATCGTGTGCCCGATCTTATGAGGGCCCTTATCGTGTTCAGAGGCCCTTTAACAGTAAATGACCCCTCCTGAAGCAGACTCCCAGAGGTCAGAGCCCAGAGCCTGGATTGAGCTCACCGCTCGTCCCGCGTGCAGACACAGTCACGTGTCACAGACATGCGTCCGCACGCACGCGTCTCCATGAGGCCACTCTGATATGGAGCCTGTACCTGTCGGCACCGGCAGGGAGGGCAACCTCGAGACACTGTCGAAGAAGGCACCCCTGAGACACCGGTGGAGAGGGAATCCCCTGAGGCACCGGTGGATGAGGACATCCCTGAGGCACCGGTGGAGAGGGCACCCCTGAGGCACCGGCAGGGAGGGACCATCCCTGAGGTACCGGTGGAGAGGGCATCCCTGAGGCACCGGTGGAGACGAGGCAACCCCTGAAGGCACCGGTGGAGAGGGCAGTCCTGAGGCACCGGTGGAGAGGGCATCCCTGAGGCACCGGTGGAGAGGGCACCCCTGAGGCACCGGTGGAGAGGGCACCCCTGAGGCACCGGTGGAGAGGGCAGTCCTGAGGCACCGGTGGAGAGGGCAGTCCTGAGGCACCGGCAGGGAGGACAGCCCTGAGGCACCGGCGGGGAGGGCACCCCTGAGGCACCGGCGGGGAGGGCACCCCTGAGGCACCGGTGGAGAGGGCAGTCCTGAGGCACCGGCAGGGAGGACAGTCCTGAGGCACCGGCGGGGAGGGCACCCCTGAGGCACCGGTGGAGAGGACAGCCCTGAGGCACCGGTGGAGAGGACACCCCTGAGGCACCGGTGGAGAGGGCAGTCCTGAGGCACCGGCTGGGAGGACAGCCCTGAGGTACCGGCGGGGAGGGCACCCCTGAGGCACCGGTGGAGAGGGCACCCCTGAGGCACCGGTGGAGAGGGCAGTCCTGAGGCACCGGTGGAGGAGGGCACCCCTGAGGCACCGGTGGAGAGGGCAGCCCTGAGGCACCGGTGGAGAGGGCACCCCTGAGGCACCGGCAGGGAGGACAGCCCTGAGGCACCGGTGGAGAGGACAGCCTCGAGACACTGTCGAAGAAGGCACCCCTGAGGCACCGGTGGAGAGGGCAGCCCTGACGCGCCGACGGAGAGAGCATCTATGAAGACTGGTCACATCAGTCGGTGGACCCGTGATTTCGAGCGACTCAAAGTAGCATTGCTCACTGCGGTGCCGCAGTCACGGTGTCACGCACATCCTATGGACTGGTAGCGTGCGCGATTATGTACACCGGCTGGAAGGCCAGCTCATAAATTTCCATCACGCGCTGGAAAGAAACACCGCGGCCGGCCGTTTGAGTGCAGGGCGATACATCATTGGGCTGGAGCGGGCCCGGCGCCGTGCTTAGCCGCGGCCCTGCGTGGCGCGAGACGTCTGACGCGCGTGCTTAGACATGCGCCACCATGGCTTCTCGGAGCGCAGGATTCCTGTTGACTGATGACGCTCAATCATGGCATCTTTGCAAACTGAAATCATGTTACGCCACCGGGCTGAGGATAAATTACTGAGCCGTTAATATCGCCGGCCGGCGGACAATGCCTTTGGTGCATGGCTGGGGGGTATATCTGCCCCCGACATTAGCTCGGCAACGAGCCACCAGGAGCCATTTGCCGCGCGCCAGGCCGGTGCCGAGCTAATGCCCGCCCCGGTCCTCAATTGTCAACGATTTCTGCCCGGTGACATGCGACTGGCGTCAGGTCACCGCGGGAGGGTGGGCCAGCGCTGCTCCCCCAGGGCTGTCTCACCCAGCATGCTGTCCCACGGCCGGCCGGCGTCAGGTGACCGCGGGAGGGTCGACCAGCGCTGCTCACCCGGGGCTGTCTCACCCAACATGCTGTCCCACGGCCGGCCGGCGTCAGGTCACCGTGGGAGGGTCGACCAGCGCTGCTCCTCCGGGGCTGCCCCACCCAGCACGCTGTCCCACGGCCGGTTCGTCGCGGCCGCGGGGAGCAGCCATTTGACGAAAGGTAATGAAGCTGCGACGGGCAGCGGTTCAGCGGCGTGTGGTATTGACGCGTCGCGGTCGATCGTAGTTTGTCAATCGCTGGTGACTGATTGAAATCACTTACGACGTTTATTGCGCGGCGGCGACATTTGCCCTTAGCAACGGCCGAAGGTCGGCAACGATCACTGAATTTACGTGGGAATGCTGGCCATTGACGTGAACGACACTTAGTCACAGCCAATGATCCACTCACATGTGCGCTTTGCTCATGCTCCATGGCAAAACCGAGGCACCTGTCATGCCCAGAGCGCTTTCCTTCTTACCGGGAACGTCTGTTTCATAGCTGGCATTTCACATAGCATTCAACACCATGCCGACCTTCGCTTGTAACATGGCCTCGTTATGCCCGGCCAGGAAGGAGGAGCCGCCGCGTCCTGAAGTGGCGCATTCGCGGCGGAAATGGCCGCTCGTGACAGAAGTGGCGCGCAAATCACGGAGCGGCGGCGGCGGGCACGCGCGCCCGCTGCGTGACACCACTGTATTACAGGCTCGAGCAATTAGTGGCGGCGACCCTCCAGCGCCGGGCGTCGCGCGGCTAGCCGTAACGATTGGCGGTGCTAGTGTCAACACGGCAGCACGCGCACTTGGTAGGTCAGGGGGCGGGAGGGGCGCCGCGCCCGTCAGAAAGCAGGCCAGACACCGTGTCATCACAGGCGACGGGGCAGGGGACGCCGGGCGACGACCCGTGCCCGTTCGGGGGCGGCCTGGCGTGTTCTTACTGTTTAAACCCTCCGCGTTAGCCTATTACGCCAATCGACGCTCTCCTCCAGCGAGTCAATACTTCCAATAATGGCATTCACATTTCGATGATGAGCCCGATGCGTTCCGAAAAACGCATCAATATTTCATCGGTTGGCAATGCGAACAACGGCCAATACGTGGCATCAATATGCCGTCGCCCAGCGGCCGGGCCGTTTCATTATCAGTAATATCAGTGGAGCGGCGACGGCTCTCGTTTGGCTGCTGCATTAGGCCACACGTGTGACAATTGAAGTCATGCATGTTTGATGCGGGCCCAGACAAGGTGCGTTCGGCCGGCCAGGTGACGTGTACACAGCATTAGCAGGGCCAGGCGAAGGACATGCCGGCCGCACCACACAAATAACCGAACGTCGCATCGAGCTGCTCGCATGCGAATCAGACCGATTTGTCAGTTTGATTCCGGCGTTATTGGTCATTTGATGGTTGCCTCGGCCGACCCAGACAATAGAAAGGGGGTAGTTTGCGCTTGGCCCGGACGTTATTTGATCCACGGCAGTTGGAATACTCCCCTCACAAGGCAGCGTGCCTGGCCCCCGACTGATGGTGTCGGCTCATGCCGCGCCAGTTCAGATTTGCGTGATGCCTGCCAATGGTGGGCTCGCTTATTATCACTGGCATCACGTACGCCGAGACAGTGCAAACTGAAACGCAGAATGAAGCACGAAGCGGCGGCAGGTCTGGAGATGATCAAGTGTTCTGTTCGAAATTGCCATTGAACAAATGTCTCTTCGAGAGCTGTGGTGACAAATATGTCATGGCCTCTGTCAGGGAAGTCGAAACGATCTCCCGCAACTTTGTTGGTTACATAACCATTCAAATGGACGTTACAAGGAGCGGAACGCTCCCAAAACTTCGATTGCCGCGCCTTCTTTGACCTTGCAATATGATAGGCCATTACCACACACATTCTGACGGCTCCACGATCGTTCAGAATAGCCTGTAAAGTGCTCTTCTAAAAAATGCTGCCCCTGCATGCAACAGGCCTCGGAAGACGGGCGTCGAGTGTGGCACGGTCTGACCCTGTGCCCGGGGTGGCCAGTGACCTCCTTGACCTCGTTACAGGAGCGGACGGCCGGACCGGCGACGACTCCACGTGTGACCTGACTGACCTTTCCGAGGCCACCACCGAGAACTACAACTCGGCCGATGACGACGAGAGCAAGGATTTCCCTGCCGCCAATGGTCCCGTGAGTCGATCTTCAGTTCAACTGCGGCATCGCTGTGAACTGCACATTGACTCCTCCTGAATTCAGGCCTGAATTTGAGGTTACCCTGACTCCGTCCGAGGGTTCACCGCAAGTATCACGACAGTTTCTGCGAGGTCTGATGCGGTTGCATTTGATCAAGGGCGAATTACAACCAAGATGCTGATGATGGCTAAATTCTTGTAGACTGTTGCCGTGGCCACTGATCCCAGAGTCTGTGATGTCTTCTTGAGATCTCCGTGAGGTCTCCGTGAGGTTTCGGTGGGCACTGATCTCAGACTCCGTGATGTCTCCTCGAGATCTCCGTGAGATCTCCGTGAATTTTCGGTGATGAGCGAGCTCGCATGAACTGCTTCACGCCTTCTACTCAGTGCCACCACACCGAGTCTCCGAGGTTGAAAATCACGCGCTGACAGTGCCCTGTGGGACCAGTCTCGAACAGCTTCGTGATTATTGCAAAAGCCGTGGCGTGACCGGCGCCGTGGCCCGGAGTCACGAAAAGCCACCACGTGTTCGGCGGACATTGCGCGCTATGCACCGGCGATCCAGCACTGCGCTTGCGTTGGCAGGCGAATGTTGGAAGTAGCACCGAGCAGGCGGTATGGGGCCGCTGACCTGGCTGAGTTCAGCTCAGCTGGCCCGAGGTAACACCGCTGCTACCAACAGGCTCCACCTGAGCTGACCTGATCTGGCCTGATGCTGGGCTGGCCTGACCTGACTTGACAGGTCATCGCTCGACAGGGCGGGGCGCCGGCGAAAGGCCTGCATCAGTTGCAACTGAACTGACCTGACCTGATCTGGATTTGCCAAACCTGACCACCCACCTGCAGGTGGGAACGACAGCACAGTGTCTGCTGCAGCTACGCCTGACGCGGTCTTCCCTAACATGACCTGGCCTAACCTGAAAATTGCTGACCTGACCTGACCCCGCAGGCTGGGCGCTGGCATTTCATCGGGCGCGTAAGTGAACCGAGCTGACGTGACATTGCCTCAACCTGCCTGGCTTGACCTTGTAAGTCAAGCGCTGACACGGTATCCCCACCAATGGCACTGGCCCTAACCTGACCTGACCTGACCTGACCCGACGGGCAGGTGGGAGCGCCGGCGCAGTACCTGCACCAGCTGCACCTAGCCATGACGTCGATGCCGGCGGAGCTGGAGCTGCGGCAGAGCGCCGTCGGCCGCGGCCAGGGCGTCTGGACCCGGCTCCGGGTCGAGGCCGGCCGTCGGTTTGGCCCCTTCCTCGGCAACTGGACCGTGCAGCCCGTCAACGACCAGTACGCCTGGGAGGTGAGTTGGCTGGAGCGCACCTGGGACGCCCTCGGCCCAGGCACTGTCCATCACTCGGCCGCGGCCAGTACGCCCGGGAGATGAGTCGGCTGGAGCGCACCTGGGGCGCCCTCGGCCCAGGCGCTGTCCAGCGCTCGGCCACGGCTTGCTGCGGAGCTTAACACAGCAAGCTTTTAAGCCCATTTGTCTTCCAAGCGATGACAGGCGTTGCATGATGAAGGACAAATGAAAGACTCCGCACTATAGACAGCATTGCCCGCGGTCTACGGCAAAGAGGCTTTGCTGGCCCGTACTTTCATTAAGAAGCATTTAGGGCTGACTGCTACCACTACTACCACTGCCTAGCACCGGTGGCCACTGCCGCTCATACCACGGGCATCGTCGCCTTCGTATTTTGGCCGTCCCCGGACCGCGAGCCAGGCAGCCTCATCTTCACCGGAGCGCGAAGTTGGAGCGCGGCTGACCGAGCTCCGCGCTGCGGCGGTCAGCTGGGCCCTCGGCCGCGGCCACATGCTGCCGGTCGCCGACTGCCAGGCTCTGCGCCGGAGCCAGAGCGGCGCGGCAGCCTCCCCAGAGCCCAATCACTCAGCCAAATAAGCGGAGCCTCCCTAGCCCGGCGCCGCTCGCCTGGCGGTGACATCTCAGATGAAAGAAAATGAATTTATAAATATGGCGCGCCTGGCGGCCCTCGCGGCGTGCCCGCCGCCCCGCGCTCCGCCCCTCTGCCCGCTGGCATCTCCGGACACGCGACCCGCTCCGCCTCGGCGCCTCGATCTTCCGTGTCAGCACATCTCTGGATCTGACGGCAAGCGTGCACCCCTCGTGGTGCACTCACCGACCCTCTCTCTCTCTATTTCCCTCTCTCCCCTCTCCACCCTCTATTTCTCCCCTCTCAACTCTCTCTTCCCTCTCTACCCTCTCTCTCTCCTCTCCACCCTTTCTTTCTCTCCTCTCCACCCTCTTTCTCTCCCCTCTCCACCCTCTCTCCCTACCATCTCCATCTCCATCTCTCTCCCCTCTCCACCCTCTCTATCTCCACCCTCTCTCTCCCCTCTCCACCCTCTCCATCCCCTCTCTCCCCCTCTCTCCACCCTTCCTCCCTCCCCTAGTCCCCGACCCACGGCGTCGGCCGCCTCCGCGATCAAATATCGCCTCCGAGTCAGAGATCATCGGCGCCGGCGAACGGGCGACAAACTGTCGACCGATTCGCCGGAACGGGCGCCGGATAGCGGCAGCTACTTTAATAAGCTATCTGCGCCAGCTGCCGCCTGATGGATCGCCGAGCCCTTGTCGACACGGATAATAAAATCGCATTCAAAGTGATATCACGCGGAGATAGCGTGTCGCCGCATCTGGCGCCGGCGAGGGAGAAAGGGGTGGGAACGGTCGGGTCCGGCCGGCGGTGCCGGCGCCGGCGGCGCGCGCCCGCCGTGGTGTCTGACACTCGCGCGCTCTCTGACACTCACGCGCTGTGATGGGGTGTGCTTGTGCTTGATGCCGCTTGGCTGGAGCCGGGCTCCGATTCCGACGGAGGAGTTACGACTCTGACTCCGCCCAGCACAGCTCAACATCGGTGCTGAGTCGAGTCTAGTCGGCGTGATTCTGGTGATCACGGTATGGGAGACAGCCTGTTTTAGGGGCTTCATGAAGACCTAAATTGGCCATTTGAATTGATAAAGGCACAGCTGCATATGGCTGTGATTCGTTTCGTGTGTATATAAACCGTCAGACTGTTAATACATCCTTGGGTGAATGGGTCATGGGCCGAGGCCCGAACAGCCCACTGCCGGGCCTCCGTTCCGTGAGGATCAGCAGGCTCCGGACGGTTCCCAGCTACTGGACCGCACCTCCACTCCGCGAAGATCAGCAGGGTTTGGACGGTTCCCAGCTACTGGACCGCACCTCCACTCCGTGGGGATCAGCAGGCTCCGGACGGTTCCCAGCTACTGGACCGCACCTCCACTCCGTAAAGATCAGCAGGGTTTGGACGGTTCCCAGCTACTGGACCGCACCTCCACTCCGTGAAGATCAGCAGGGTTTGGACGGTTCCCAGCTACTGGACCGCACCTCCACTCCGTGGGGGTCAGCGGGGTTTGGACGGTTCCCAGCTACTGGACCGCACCTCCACTCCGTGAAGATCAGCAGGGTTTGGATGGTTCCCAGCTACTGGACCTCACCTCCACTCCGTGAGGGTCAGCATGTTTTTGAGACCTTGATCACATTTGCGGGACCTCACAACACTTTGCTGCCCGCGCGCCCCACGCAGGCCCCAACGGGTTAGGATGGGGGCGGGAGATTACGGTCCACATGGCTCTTGGAGCCGCCGCTGGGGTCACGTCTACTGCCGCCGAACTGCAACAGGTCCAAATCCCCAGACACCGCACCAGCGGTCCTCGGAGACCATACCAGTGGTACCCAGAGATCCCTGGAGACCGCAACATCTATCCTCGGAGACTACAAACCGGTCCCCAGGGCGCGATGCTCCGGGAGTACTCATGCTACTCACCTCATCCCTGCTGACGGCTGGGCCGCCTGCCGTCCCTCCCGATCGTCTCCTGGACACCTCTCGACTCCGCTCATTAGCACAGGGCCTAATGACGCCGGCGCTGAGCGGAGCGCGTCGTTGCAGGCCGCTAAATCATCCGCGGCTCCTCCATTACTCACACCTCAAAGGGGCGCGTTGTGGCACGCGGGCTCGCAGAGGTCGGGCGAGCCCCAAATAGTCGGGCGGCGCGCGCGGTGTCACCGCGGGGCCGGTCGTATGTTCTGGCCGCTCATCAATACTGGCCATCGCCGGCGGACGGGCTGACCCCCGCCCCCACCCCACTCCACCCTGCCCTGCCCCGGCCGCGGCGGCACGCTTTGACGGTGGTCTTCCGCGGCGGGTGGCGCTCATAAAACGGGCGGCGGTCCATTGGCGATTGGCCACCGCGGGGGCGCGCACAAAGGTGCGCCGGAACTGTGGCTGACGGCCGGCCGGACGGCGGTGTCGTCTGTCGCCGCCGCGGTCACCCGGGTCACGCAACTGGCTGCCGGAGTGGGCGGGGGACACCAGGGGTGGTCGGGATGTTGGTTTGGCACCCCCGGGACCTGCTTTGAAGACGGCTGCTTTGACTCGCGGCTGCCAATGAGATTCGCCACCAATGGTGTAGTTGAAAGTTCTGGGGGACGTAGAAGGGCATACTATAATGTACGTTATTTCGAACATTGGTCGCGTATTGTTATCTCTTCGGACTCTTATGTATTATGTAAGCTCATTAGTCAGCCAGGTCGCGTCACCGGCGTGAACAGGCAGCGCATCCAGAGTTGCGGCAGGCAGGCAGACAGGCAGCGTATCCAGGGCTGCGGCAAGCAGGCAGACATGCAGCGTATCCAGGGTTGCGGTAGGCAGGCAGACATGCAGCGTATCCAGGGTTGCGGTAGGCAGACAGGCAGGCAGTGTATCCAGGGTTGCGGTAGGCAGGCAGGCAGGCAGCGTATCCAAGGTTACGGTAGGCGGGCAAGCAGGCAGCGCATTTGTTGCGATAATCAGCCGCAGACCCTTCTGCGTCATTCAGTGTAATACCACCGAGCCTGCGGTATTAAGTGTCTCTATCCCGCAGTCGCATTCAAGGTTTATCAGCCTGTGTCAGACGCGTAACGTTTTGACAGAGAGAAAGCGAGGTGCGTTAATGTCGGCCATGCTTTATTTGACTCAATTGATTAGTCGCATGCTGATATTGCCACTGCAACACTGGTTTCGCTATGCTGTCAACGGGATGGCGCATGCTACGAAATGCGGGGCAGATGTGAAAAGGTGACGGAAACGGCCAGAACATTTCGTTTCACGAAGGCAGCGGACCACACCGTCCTTCCATTGTGCAGACTGTGCTGGTCGCTAACGAAACCGTGCTCTTCCTTTGCTTGTGCCCAGGTGACAATTTTAGTACTTCATAAAACTCACGGCCCCTTCGGCGTCTGCCAATAATGGGCGAAATATGTAAACCATGCGGCTCGCCACAGGAACTCATTACGAGTCACATTGTCACGTTTTCAGGAAAACTGTTACAAGCGATTTACGGCCTGTCTGAGGAAGCCCGGTGAAAAGATTTCCCTCAATTACGGAAGATCGCCAGTTCTGAAAGATCCCTTTCATCGCCGTGGGACACGCTGCCGCTCCCCTCTGCCCCCTCTGCCCCCTTTTTGTGCGCGCCGGGAGCCGAAGGGCCCCGGAGACGTCATCATTAGTGCCACCTTTCACGGCTCTCGGCGCGCACAGCGCTGAAAAGATAGAAACCATACGATTTCTGGAAATGATTTCGGCTCGTCGCACAAAGCGTTTGGCGCGCCGCGCCGGGAGGCGTCGCGGCACCGCCCCGCGGCCGTCGCGGCCCGCTGGAGGAGCGGGGCCGGCCAGACGCCGCTTTGTGGGACGCGCCGGAGGCGTGCCGATACCTGGCCCGCGCGGGCGACAAGGGCCCCGGCTTGGCGGCCGCGCGCGAATTGGTGCGGATGTGGCGACGGGACACGACCGCCCACTCTATCTTCCACGCTTTCAATTAAGCCGGGCGGCAGTGTTTGCGAGTGGATTACCGATGACTGGATAAATAAACATTGTTAGGTAGTCGGCTGCACAGCGGCGCACTGCCCCGAGATAAGCCCAATCGCCGGAGGCGGGCGCTGAGATTAAGGGTAACAAAGCCACTGGAAAGCCAATAATGTCACGTTCGCGGCGGCCAAGTTTTCGCCGAGTTGGCGGTGCTAATCCTCCGTGTCACTGGCGTTGGCTTCCAGCTGTGACGGTCGTACAGTGGAGGTGATTAAAAGCCGCGGGGACGAGCAAAAACTGCTCGATGGGCTGTTTATTCTGCTGAAACATTGCTTCCAGCGCACCTTGGAGGGAAACTTCAAACAGAGGCCCGTGCTGTTTGATCGCTGCCCGCCAAACAGCCTCGCTCGGCGACAGGTGGCTCTGGGAGTCGCTATTACAAATGGAGTGCAAATTGCCAGGCCAATGCCTTCCGTGCCGGGGGTGTCGGCGCATTCTTGAGCAAGCTCGGC